GTGAAAAATCTACAAATTCTATAATTATAATTAACCATTTTTAATCTAGCAATATTTAACTGAATGTTTTGTTTTACAAATTTTCTTTTCCATTTGTTACATTACATCATTGATACTTTAACAAGCTCTAAATAAATACATAAACTAGAACTTTTATGATCATTAGATACGGCAAATTTTTTTTTTTTTGGCAGAGCCCCATATAGTCGCGGGATGAAACTATAATAGGCTAATGTCAAAAGTCAAAACTAAATCCATCGAAAGTCTAAACATTTCGCAACATAGTTGCAACTTTTAAAAAAATTTATTAATTTGTTGATTGGTTGCAACATTTATTTGATTGGAAAATATCGTTTCATTGAATGATATAGGCATCATTTGATCAGAGGTAATTTCTTATGGATGGTGAATGCATGCGTTAAAATAGTTTTTAAAAAAATGACATAAAAAATAAACTAACTATGCTTACCTTTTTTGTAGGTTCCAGAGTTCTTCAAGCCTTGGAACCTGGAGGTAAGTTCCTATAAAGGGAGGGGAGGATTTAAGAAAATTTTTTTTAAAAAAAATAAAAAAAAAAAGAAACTAATACTTACCTTTTTGTAGGATCCCAGAGTTCTTCAAGCCTTGGAATCAGAAGTACGTTTCTATGGAGGAGGGGAGGATGTAAGAAATTTTTTAAAAAAAAAATAAAATAAAAAGAAACTAATTAATACTTATCTTTTTGTAGGATCCCGGATTCTTCAAGCATTGGAATCAGGTAATTTCCTATAGAGGGTGGGTGCGTGCATTAAAATAGTTTTTAAAAAAATGAAATATAAAAAATAAACTAACTATGCTTACCTTTTTTGTAGGTTCCGGAGTTCTTCAAGCCTTGGAACCTGGAGGTGAGTTCTTATAGAGAGAGGGGAGGGTTTAAGAAATTTTTTTTTAAAAAAAAGAAAAAAAAAAGAAACTAATACTTACCTTTTTATAAGATCCAAGAGTTCTTCAAGCCTTGGAATCGGAAGTATGTTTTTATGGAGGAGGGAAGGTGTGAGAAATTATTTTAAAAAAAAATAAAATAAAAAGAAACTAACTAATACTTATCTTTTTGTAAGATCCCGGATTCTTCAAGCATTGGAATCAGGTAATTTCCTATAGAGGATAGGTGCATGCGTTAAAATAGTTTTTAAAAAAATGAAATATAAAAAATAAACTAACTATGCTTACCTTTTTTATAAGTTCCAGAGGGTACGACGTGCTATTGGTTAGGATCACTGCTAATGAAGGTGAAGAGTATCAATTATCAAATAGGATTTAGTGAGGTAATAGGAAACGCTTGTGAATATAATGATGCAAAAATGGAGCGAGACTGAGAAAAAATTCTTAAATTTAGGTAGGGGTTCTCTCATTTTTTCTGGCTAATTAAGTTTGGCATGCTTTAATCTCAACAGCAATGCAACTTGGGCTTTTCCAATTGTGACTGTTATTGCATGAACGCGGAGCTGAGAAAAATGACTTTAATTACGCTAAGACGTTTAGAATTCTCGTGTATACTAAGTAACAGTCCATTACACATCCTATTTTACTAAAACTCAATATTTTCTAACTTTCTTTCACAGAAAAGGATTATCACTTTTATTTAATGCACTATGCCAATGGTTTATACCTAGTAAACAAATTTGACGAATTTGCGATACCCTCCAATGCTAGTCAATTGTTTGAATTGTCAGAAATTATAAGATCATTGTTTTCGTTTAAGGTAATAACCAATATTGCAGTATTTTTATTGTAAATTTCAAATAATATTTTTTTTTTTATCACAGAATTACGTTATGAACCTTCATGACAATATACAAAATCTGCTCAATGGAAAGCATCGATTCATACAGAAGTTTCGTCATTGTGGTAAAATTGCTACCAAGATATCTCCTAAGTAGGATTGGATCGGTCCTAGAAAAACTGATTTTTAAACCAGTTTTTAGACTGACTGGTCTTATTGCTCTGCAGTCTCAGATTTTAGGACCGAGAGTTATTCAAGCTTTGGAATCGTCAAAGGTAAGTTCTTATAGAGGGAGGGAGGGTTTGAGAATTTTTTTTTTAAAAAAAAATAAAAAAAAAGAAACTAATACTTACCTTTTTGTAGGATCTCAGAGTTCTTCAAACCTTGGAATCGTCAGAGATAAGTTCCTATAGAGGGAGGGGAGGGTGTGAGAATTTTTTTAAAAGAAATAAAAAAAAAGCAACTAGTGCTTACCTTTTTGTAGGTTCCAGAAGGCTTCAACATTTATAAAAAGAGGCAAGTAAAATTTTAAATTTAATTATTTTTTTAAATTAAAAGAAAAACGAAAATTTACCTTCTTTCAATTTTAGGATTCCGGAAGGCTTCGTCATCTACAAAAGGAGGTAAGTTTTTTTATTTTAATTTTAATTATTTTTATTTTAAATTAAAATAAAAACAAATTAATTACCTTTATTTATTTTGTAGGATTCTAAGATTCCAAGCTTCGACATCAGGATTCTGGAGGGCTTCCACATCTACAAAAGAAGGTAAGTTTTTTTTTTATTTTAATTTTAATTATTTTTCTTTAAATTAAAATAAAAACAAATATACTTATCTTTGTTTATTTTATAGGTAGAATTCTAAGATTTCCAAAGGCTTTGATATCGGGATTCCAGAGTTCCTTAAGCTTTGAAATTGAAGATAAGTTCCTATGGAGGTGTGTGATTTTTTTTAATAAAAATAAAAAAGAAAATAATACTTATCTTTTTGTAGGTTTTGGAAATTACAGAAATTTGAGCAGGTTTCAGAGATTACAGAAGTTTGGGCATGAATTTCAGAATTTGATCAAAAATGTGAATCATTTCACCAATCGCAAAATAGTTTTGCCCAAAACATTATATCGAACGATAAATGAATCATTTGATTGGAATAATCTAAACATTATTCATCAACTAAATCACAATTAAATCATAAACTTAATTGTTTAAATATATTATTATCAATTTGATCATAATTGATCATAGAATTAGTCATAAATTAATTATATAATCAAATAATACAAATTTCATTATAAATTTAATCACAATTTAATCGCAACTTTATTATAAATTTAATTGATTTTTCTTTTTCAATATCGTGTATAATTTAATTTTCTTTAAAAAAAACAAAAAAAATTTCATTTTTAAATAAAAATTTAAAAAGTTTTACTAGTTACAAAT